TCCCCCCCCCCCCCCCTATTTTCCATCCACCATTCCGTGCATTCGTTTCAGAACTCCGTGTAAACGCGATAGAGAATGGTGTCCGAATGGTCTCTCTTCTCTTTCTCTGAACTAAATTTTGATTCGTGCAAATACGAATCTTTCCCTGAATCTAATGTCGAACTTTGAAATACGTGTGCTTGTGGATATATGAGATATCGTATATTTTATATTGTTTGTAAAAAAAACACGTTAAACATGATTATAACACGATTAAACACGATATTAAACACGATTTAATAACCGGTAAAATAATAAGATAGTAATTTGTTAATGTTAACCGATACAAACAATATTGAATTTGTTATGCTTTGATATAATAGAATGAAATTATGATTTTCCACCCCTTGAAATTTTGACACACATTAATTGAAGAAAAATTAAATTACAGAAAATTTTCTAATTATTTTTACACAGTTGAAACGTACCTTTTCGAATATCTGGCCTGTGAGTTGCGTTCGTACGGTTCCTCGGCTGTCCAGTGGAATATCCACCGGAGGGTGTCGTGGGGGTCGCTCCCGGTGTACTAGGATTGCTACCACCGGGGGTGTGAGCGCCATGACCCGCGTCGAGCCTCGCGAGGCCCCCATTGGTTTCATCCCCGAAGTCACTCTGCGCCCAGACTGCAAAACACATCACACCCTCTTGCAACATCGTCTAGGCGCATAGTAATCCTTATTTATTCTCGGCTGCAGCCGCGTACATTAATTGGAGGGTTCCTTTCCGCGTTTTGCTAAATCCTTCTTGCACGATATCGCGACATAATGAATGATGTACTGCTATTTCAGATTTAATCAAGGCAAATAGTTAAGTGATGATTGAACAATTACTATTGCATTAATTTGTATTATTATTAACTATCATTAAAATCTAATATCCGATAAATAATAATCTAGTAAAATAATCTAGTAAAATAATAAAAAAAATCGATTGCCTTTTACTTCAAAAATGAATGGAAAATTATTTTTATTTTCTCTTTGAACCTTTTAATTTTCAAACATAGATATTTTAGAAATTTTACATTGTAATTCCTCATAATACATATGTTGCATGAATGGGTCAATTAATAATAGTGTTACCTCGCCCACCCAAATAAAAGTTATGTTTTGCTGCGGCGAACCGCCCCTCAATCAACGACTATTTATCTACCGACGAAGTAGACGCGATAAAAAGAGAAAAACGGATTCTCCGCTTCTCCTTTCCATACTTCATCGTCGATGTGTACTCTTTATGCATCCGCGTGTTCGTGTGTACATGCAAAGCCACGCGGGGCGGGCTGAGAAGTTAATCGGCTCGGTCGTTTAGCTTCGCTCCGTTTAGTTATATTTGGTTTCCACAGGAGCAAAGAGGAGGGACGTGGTTCACAATTAGTCGGCGCATAACTCGGGCTGATTTAATGTCGTAAAGCTTACTACGTACGTATGAAGACGCATGTGTCACTTACTTCGATACCGCTAAGTGTGAGCGGTGCACACGTGTTCGTATACGAAATAAAAGAAATTTCTTGTGCGATATTTTTTCAATGGCGGAGGTCTCAAGTATGCGTGAATTGAAGTTTTTAAATTAATCATCTTTGCCGTTGCGAAAAGATGAGCTATACCCTATGATGCTATATGATTGAAAAATATTTGTTTAAATCAGAATAGTTTTTAATTCGGGAAACTTTAACATTCTTATCCATCAATGATTTTTAATACGATTATATATTTTACTATTACGTGCATCTTTTAAATATTATGAGGTTTCGATTAATTTTATTACGAAGTTCATAACGAATTGATCTTCTACATCTTGAAATAATTAAATAGTTTGAAATGAAGAATGATTGTTTCTGTAATTGATAATAAAAGCATCGGGATGAAAGGGTATGAGAAATGAAAAAAGTTCAGTCGAGTTTTTACTCGCATCATTTCAAGCAAAGTTATAATATTTTGGTAGATAACTTGGTTAGTTCAGTTTATTACGACACGGTATGCACGCGCACGAATACGTGAAATTTTTCTGGCAACGAAAGATATACTTGTCAACGCGTATGATATTTTAGGACGTGCGCTCTCTAGTATTAATTTGCAGTATTAATTTGTGAGTTACAAACACGCAGCGTATGTAATTGAGGAAATCGTTGAAACTGTTGACAAACGGACACCAAACAGTTGTTGTGTTAAATGCTTTCTCCAATGATACCTTCTTGTTAACACTTTGACTGCCAAGTTGATTTCGGTACGAGTTCTAGGAAAGTTTTGAAGTCGAAAAACAACTCTTCTCAAATGTTTACATGTACAATTACATTAAAAAATAAATCATATAAAAAATAAATAAAAAGTATATCATATTTTATTTTATGTTGTTGAATATTTAATAAAATGCAATTTTAAATGGAATAAATATCTGTGATTGAAAGAAATGCGGATACAAACAGAAAAATAGAAAAATATTCAATTTTATTGTTAATAAATCTATCCTCTCTCTATATATATATTGATAATACATCTCTCTCTCTCTCTCTCTCTCTCTCTCTCTCTCTCTCTCTCTTTCTCTTTATTATCTTAATATTTCTTTTTCTTTTAATATTTCTAAATACTTATTAAAATCATTCCAAATTGGATAAATAAAACCGTCATTTAATAAACGGGAAATGGGGTCCTTAATAAAAATTCACATATCCAGATATCGCAGTGTGATCAAAATGTTAATATCAATTTATTAGAAAAAAAGCTTTATTATATAATGTTTAAATGATAAATAACTACTTTGTGATTTCTATCCTGAATTCAAGCAATTATAAAAATCGACTGCAAATACTGTGTTTCCAAAGATCGACGGATTCCTCTCGGGAGTACTATGTATTTATAGCTCGACTATAAATTTGTAGGAAGGTATCTACGATGGGGGAACGTGATGAAAATCGCTATGCTGCCGCGGAAAATTGATATTGACGAATATCTCGATTTTGCATCGTATATAAATCAATCTCGCCCGGACATTGTCGCGCGATCATGCGTGCGGATATTCGTCACGCGTTCGCTACAGCTGCTCCGTGTATGTTTATACAATCATTATTATTATTATTATTTATCGCTTTGGTAGCAGAAATTGAAACTGTAATTTAGGTAGGTAAGTTCGTATCTCGATGTTGTAGATTAATGTTGAGATCAATAAGATTGATTGTTGGTGCAGAAATGATCTGCGTATTTAGTCATAACGATTATAAAGTAAGGCACGTGTAAAGTATATTTAGAAATTGATTTAAATCTATAATGCATTATAATACAACTTATTAAAACAAGCTCCAACATTCTTTCTATATATAATGTTTTTCCCTTTTTTTTAGGCATTTCACACATAAGCGATTTGTGTTAAATCAAGCTTAATTGAAAATTATGCCGATCTTAATCCCACCTTCCTGACCAAATATGTTTTCTTGCGAGCACCATATAAATACGCGAACGTGACTTGCGAGGTTGCTACTGAGTGTCTGCCGGAATTCATGATTAATTCGCCGGCCGACGAAATGCGAGAGTGGATGAGCCGTGTCGACAACAGGATTATATAAGTCGCAAAATGCGGTACGATTTCGAATGAGGCAAGCTATAGCTGTGCTATGTTGTGCTGTGCATCGCAGAAATGCTAGTGTCTTTTGAAATTTATTTCCGAAGTTATGCACAGCTCAACAGAATTGAATTTATTTAGCAACCGATCGAGAAATGCTTATCGTAGGTTTCAGTCCTTGATCTTGAAACTGCAGACAGAACGTTACTTAGATGATCCAATATGTATTTAAAATATGTATTTAAATATGTATTTAAAATATACAAAATATGTATTTAAAAGCATTTTCCTATAAATCGATCTTATCGGAATGATTATATATTTAAAACAATTTGTTCGATAAAAAAAAAACAATTCGTTTGCTACTCGAAGAAAAGACAAAATGCTATCGCAAATGCTTTCTTGATAGATAAAAAACAAATAATAATTCCTAATTTGAAGCTTACTTGTTAATCCACTCAAGTATTAATTTTCAAAAAATAAATACTCTTAACGTGACAACATAAATTACGTAAATTAAAATGTTTGTTTATATCATCTTTTATCTTTTGCTTTTTTGGATTTTCGGAGTTAAATAAAAGCGAGAATCCTTCCGAGGGTTTTGAGGATCTTCATTTGTTTACTACGAAAGTATTTAACTGTTAACCAACGGATACATTCACCTTCCTCGTTTCGATAAAGATAATGTATACCGACAGAATCTCTTACACACTGTGCTTGTATATTATTTCAAGATTAGAGTTAATCACATAATCTACATCGTGATCTGACTAACACTACTCGAGCGACCTACTCACCAAGTAAAATTTATAGACCGTCATTTCTCACGCTTCAATATGTCGCCAACAAATACATATACATAAGGATTTATATCCTTGATGACTACCAAATTCCTATTATACCTCATCTCTTCAAAATTACACCTTTTTATCATAATAATTAACTATGTGAATACTCCTATATTAAAATATGCGATATTTGATCTAAATTTGCATAAATCATTGAATTTGAGTAGATAGGGGTGAGACTGTGGGGTACCTAGGGACATGTTGTAACTTGCAACACCCTAATTATTTTTTTAACGACAACGAAATTTTTAATATTGGCTGTTTAATCGTATTAATTTTTCAATTGATGTAATATAATTGACTACCCAACATTAAACATTTTGATATTGTTAAAAAAAATAATTAGTCCATCTTATGGTACAAAATATGTCCCTAGATATCCATTCTTTCTTACTCGATAATTTCAATGCATAGTTGAATTGTTGTAACAAAAAATTTGTTAAATTGCTTAACAGTTTTAAAGTTTCGCGAAGCTATAACATAATCGAATTCAATTGATTTACTGAGTAATCAAATATAAAATCAAAAACAGAACTCGAATTCGAGTGCGAATAGAAATTACAAATAGTTTTATGCGAGTAATAATATCAAATAACATTGTGCGGGACATGGCGCAATGATTTTCCAGAGTGTCATTCGTGGATACACTTTCCTCGTGTCTAGCGCGCACGTTCCCACGAGATCCCCTGCGGAGTTCTCGGAGGCTTAAGATGTCGTATCGTTTGATGGCTGTGTGCTTGTCCGCCGGCGGCCACCATGGGTTCGTGGCGGAGTTACCGCGGATACGAGAGAGGATCCCGAGAGGGCGGAATGTGGCCCCGACACTCTTCACCCCGCCCTGTCAAACACGTTCGACACCCCGATCCCGTTCGCGCGCTCGAGCATTTCTCGAAGAGAGAGAGAGAGAGAGAGAGAGAGAGAGAGAGAGAGAGAGAGAGATCATATATTGATCCCTCGACCTGAAAACGTCGAAACAATATGAACCTTTCTTTCTGTCGACGCAGACGAAAGATGTTCCATACGTCGAACATCTGCCAAAAATACTGAGGCACAACACGAATATTAATAAAATTTCACTTAATTATTGAATATAAATGAATATAAAACGCAAACTCTTGAAATAACGAAAAGAGTAAAATCGCGTTTTTATAAAAAAAAAATCGAAACATTCAATTGTCATTTTCGGGAATGAGAGAAAAACAGAGAAGCGCGCGGCGCCTCAGTTC